CTGATAGTGTTTTTTTTTGTTTTTTTTCTATATTAAAAGGTATAAAATGTATATTTTTCTGCAGTGAAAGACTGAGGGAGTTGATTGTGGAATTCAGGCCTCCCCAGTTCATTGACAGCCTCAGCAGTGTTTTGCCACGAGACGCCAAGGACACTGTGGCCAACATTCTGAAAGGTGTGTTCAAATGCTGCCTTCTCCTGATAACATTGAACCATAATCTCACTCTTTCTGCAATGAGTTGCTTTAAAACATGCCGTTGATGTGTTCTTTGAATAACAGAACTTCTCTGTTCCTATTTGATGAGTTTTAATCATGTTTCCTTTTAGGACTCAACAAACCCCAGAAACAAGCCATGAAAAAAGTGCTACTGTCCAAAGATTACACGCTTATTGTGGGAATGCCAGGTACTGGGAAAACTACCACCATCTGTACACTGGTAAGAACTAATGAATTTTGAAAACCAGTTGAGTTTTAGGACAACTGTATTCAGTTTCTTCTCATAATTTAGTTTGCATTACTTTTAATTTTTTACCCTCTTTCTGACCTGTGGAGTGAAATTGTTTTTGCTACTGGTTTCTATATACAGAGGAATATTAATCTGACATGCATTTTACACTTCCTTGTTTTACAGGTGCGTATACTCCATGCTTGTGGCTTCAGTGTACTTCTGACTAGCTACACCCACTCTGCTGTGGACAACATCCTCCTGAAACTAAAGAGGTTTAAGATTGGCTTCCTGCGACTGGGTCGTTCTCAAAAAGTGCACCATGACATCTTGCCCTTCACAGAGGAGTCATGTCAGGCCAAAGGCATCCAAACACTAGAAGAGCTGGAACAACTGTATAACAAAGAAGTAATATATATATAAAAATACTTAATCATATAAAATAATTAAAATCTTAAAGAGTTTAAAACAAATGCACTGTTATTCAAAAGTTTTGAGTCTTTAATGCTTTTTGAAAGAAGTCTCTTATGCTCACCAAGGCTGCATATATTTTATCAAAAATACAGTAAAACAGTAATATTGTGAAATATTGTTAAAATTTAAAATAATGTTTTTATTGTAATGTATTTTATAATGTTTTTTTTTATTCTTGTGATGTCAAAGCTACATATTCAGCAGTCATTACTGCAGTCTTCAGTGTCACATGATTCTTCAGAAGTAATTCCAATATGCAGATTTGGTGCTTAAGAATCTTTTTTTATTATTAATGTTGAAATGTTATGCTGCTTAATATTCAAAAGTTCAAAAGAACAGCATTTATTAGATTTTTTTTTTTTTTTTTTTTTTTTGGTAACATTAGAAATCTTTACTGTCACTTTTGATCATAAAGTTTTGATTTCTTTCTGACCCCAAAATTTTGAACTGTAACGAATATGACATGTAAGTGATAATGTTCAATCTCTGATTGATTGCTCTACATTTTAAAAATCCAAATTGTTTTGTAAAGCTTACCCCACTTTCTTTGTAGCTGATTGTGGCCACCACCTGTATGGGTGTAAAGCACCCAATATTCAGCCGTAGACGCTTTGACTTCTGCATCGTGGATGAGGCATCTCAGATCAGTCAACCTGTATGTTTGGGTCCGCTGTTCTACGCCCAGCGCTTTGTCCTGGTGGGAGACCACCAACAACTTCCTCCGATTGTACAGAATGCTGAAGCCAGGTAGTACACTTCTATACTCATTCAGAACTTGTCAAGAAAGCTTGTCATGTTGAGCCTCTGAATACAGCAGTTACACTATCACGATATTATTATACCACCCCCTGCTCAAATTTTTACTCAGAACACTGGGCATGGATGAGAGTTTGTTCAAACGTCTGGAGCACCATAGTGATGCAGTTGTTCAGCTGAATGTGCAGTACCGAATGAACAGGTGGGAGTTACACCAGTCAAACATTCAGACTAAGATATATGCGATTGTTAAATGGAAATAAAAAACAATATATAAGTCGAATGTGATATCCAACTTTTTCTTCTATTGGCAAGACTTACGGCTTATTAGCCGCTATAGGGAAATAACAACGTGCAGTAACTATCCCTTTAATATTAAATATCTCTTAAATGGGCATTAAAAACTCATGTGGAATACTAATAGGTGATTTTTCCTATACATATTTGAGAATATTCACAAGCAGCAGTTCCAGCTCTTACACTTGCCATTTTCCATCCTGCAGTGCGATCATGTCCCTGAGCAATGTTCTGATGTATGAGGGCCGACTGGAGTGTGGCTCTGAGAGGACGGCAAGCGCAGTGCTGCAGCTGCCCGGTAGAGCTCAGGTTGAGAAGGAGCTGGACCTGTTTGTGTGTCAGCCGCAGTATAGCGCTTGGGTCCAGGCTGTGCTGGAGCCCAATAGTCCTGTCTGTTTCCTGGACACGTCTGAGGTCAGTCTAACTGCCTTTTTTCTTAGTCTTCATTTCATTTGGCCTGTTATAGAATCCTAAATTTGTTTTTCGTACATTTTTATCATTATGTACTGTACCTTTCTTCAGGTTCCCGCCCCTGAGACGGTGGAGAAAAGTGGTATCAGCAACAACACGGAAGCCATATTGGTACAAGCCATTGCCACTCTGCTGCTCAAGGTCCGAACATCCCATTTGTTGTGAAACACGCTGAAATCTGTTTTTTTTCCCCCCTGTAATGCTTGAAATTATATTTAATTTTAAATGTGTTGTAGGCTGGATGCAGAGCGTCTGATATTGGGGTCATTGCTCCATATCGACAACAGCTAAAAACCATCTCCAGTCTGCTCCAGGGAGACGCCTTTAAAGCTCTGGAAGTCAACACTGTGGACAAATACCAAGGACGTGACAAGAGCGTCATCATTGTGTCCTTTGTTCGAAGCAACCCTGAAGGCAACGTAAGTGGCCTTCCCCCCTGAATTTAAACATTTAAAAATATCTAAATATTTAACATTTAAGCCAATTAACTGTATATTGCAGTGATCGAGTATATGATGCATGGGCCATTATGTGCTCGATTATTTCATTATTCTCATGTGTAAAATCATTTTACAGCTGGGTGAGTTGCTCCAAGACTGGCGCAGGCTGAATGTGGCCATCACTAGAGCCAAACACAAGCTCCTCATGCTGGGCTCAGCGTCCACCCTTCGCCGGTACGCACCGCTAGAGAAACTTCTCTGCCACCTTCAACAGGAAGATATGATATCCTTTACAACCGTGTTTATGTATGAGAATGTTATTGCAGGTTCATTCAGGGACTTTATCACTCTGTCATTGAAATTAGTTAATAAAGTCAGTAATAAATTATTAATACCTTTTTTGGTGAAACAACATTTTTGAAATTTTCCTTAATTTAAGTCACATCTTCCAGCTGCCTGCTGCTGCCCATGAGGCACTACCCAGAATCCACTTGTGATAAAAACAAAAACCTCTTCTGATCCATAATAGTGTATGTCAAGATAGTGCCGTGAAATGGTATACATAAGCTTCAGATGACTATAGACGGCTTTTATTTTGTTTTAATAATAGATGTGAAGTTTAATAATAAATCACTGCTGACAGGCCCTAGTACATAATTACACTCATGAGTTTCTTTACTCAATTAATTCCTACCTCGTGTTGCATATTTTTTAAATTCATTACAGTTTTAGCCATGTACGTGTTTTGTGTATGTGTTTTATATATTTTTTTTTTATGAATTTATCAAGTTTTGTTTAATAAAAAATTGCAACAAATATTACATTCTCTTTGACTTTCTCTTTGAGTTAAAATTAAATATAATAAAAAGGATAGTTTGCAGGTCTGTGAACTTGGATTTTATTAAATGACACATAACTTGCACCTACACATTAATTTAAATAGCAATTAAATGCACTTGATTTCCATCAAAACTACAAGTTTGTCCTGAGGTGCAAAGATTATCTGAAACCCATACTTGAGTAAAAGTACAGATACCATACAGTGAAAATTAGTCCACTACATGTTACATGTCACCAATTCCAAAACAACTTGAGTAAAAGTCTTAGAGTATTTGATTTTAACCGTACTTAAGGATTTTATAGGCGCAAAGATGCACTAGTCAAAGAAATATTCCAGTGAAAAAATTTAACATTGTGGAGAATCTGGGGAAAACACAGGTATAGGCAAGGATGGAAAAACTAAAAAAAAAAACAATAAACCAAAAACCACAATGAATAAAAAACGGAATGATGAGCAAACAGACAACCATTACATTCAACAACTCACAAGGAACTAAAGAAACACGGGGGCCATATATACACAGGGGGCTAACAAGACACACTTGGGGAGACTAATCAAGGGGAAACAATGAACAAATGGACTACAAACACCACGTGAGACAGGAAGTGACAAAAGTCCAAGACGATGCACAGAGAAAGGAAACATGTCGTTCAAACCGGAAACCGTAGCACAACGGTGCACACCGGTTTGAGCTTGAACTTGCCCCAGGTAACAAAAACAAGAAAGATTTGATTTGTGAGGAGAGCAATCGCATTTATTTTCTAAAACCAAAATAAAACTGACCACCTCAAAATTGCAAAAAAACAACAACATCCTCTAAAAAGGTCTCTTCACTGGTAGATAAAATAATGTTAAGTAAAATGAAAAAGTCAAAGCCTTCTTGCACTGCATGTGCTGGGTTCTGCCTCATTGCTGGCTGCAGTCATAATGTCCTCATCTCATGTAAAACACCTGTGATAAGCTAAGGAGCTCGCATTCACATAAAGTAGCATTGTTGACAAGTTTGGTTGAGTAAGGGTCATATAGTACTTCCAGAGCCCTGTAGTAGGAAGTACCACGTCTTTTGTAGCAGATATAAACTGCTGCAGAAAAGCTAGGTGCCATGCAAAATGTAATGTGTATAACTGCGACACGCATTTCAAATGTAGTGGAGTAAAGAGTACAGACATTCATTCAGAAATGTAGTGAAGTAGAGAGTAAAGTAGCTAATACCTATGATACTCAGTAAAACTACAAAGTATCTGAAAAGATACGCAAGTACAGTAATTAATTACATTTACTCAAATACTTTACACCTCTGAGTTTGTCTAGATTTTAAGAGTTCCCTGAAGAATGATCTGTGCCTGACCAATGATGTCCAGTCTACCATCATTTCTTATCTCCAGCTTTACCTCGCCTCCTCGACTGGAGCACTGGTAAGCTGCAAAAACAAATATTGCAGAGATGAATGCTTTATTCTGAGCCAAGAGCCTTTGTTCATGTCATCAGAACTTATGTCCTTAAACATTTGCTTTTAAACTTGTTTATTCGATCATGTTAACTTCCATTTTAATGTGGATTCTGATGTATTTTATGCGAATGTGTGTATGATGGCATGATGCAGGGAAGGATAAGGCGGCCTTTACCCAACATTTTCTTTTTCTTCAGCTTTTCAGACCAGTAGCCAGCAAGGACTGTATGTGCTGACCCTTTTAGAAAATGAAGTTGTATTATGATGCTTTGATTGCTCTGCATGTAAATGGTTTGAGTTTACATGATACACATTTCAAACGGCTTTTAAATGTTCTTCTCACCAGTGACTGGATCTTCAGGGACCCCAACCCATGGGGCGAAGACACGGGAGTAAAAGTCATACACAGACTGAGTGCTCTCTGCTCCTTTCAGTGTAATGATAAGACTGTTAATCTTACCAGTGGTTTCATTTCTCAGAAGAGACTCTGCCTCTGGCCTCAAAGACACAAGTTCAGACCTGCCAACAATTAAGAGTTAACACTGCAGAATGAAAGGGAAAATACTATTGTAAAGAGGTAGTATATGGGCAATTATTTTTTCTCTGACTGAATGTTGCACTAAAATGTTTTTTTTTTAATCTGCCTCACATACAATTTGCAATAGATTATTATTTTTTCTCTGCAAAGCTGTTTTCCTATTGCCCATAAACACATTGCCATCATCAATAGAATTTTCTTTCTTGTTCTTTTTTTAGAAATGCCTAAGAAAAGTCCAGCAGCATACCTGTCACAAGCGTCAGCCAGACGAACCATCAGTTTCTTTGTGGTTGGACTGTAACACACATCCTGAATGGGTAAGTCTCCTACAGCAGCCTGAAAATTTAAAACAAAATGCAGAAAATGAATAAATAAATGCTAGTTTCTACTTGTGTCATACTAAAACCAGAATTAGCACATGGCAGTGTTACCTTTAAAAGATCCTTGATTTCACGTTGGTCCTGCAAATAACACATACAAACTTAATCAATTCAGACAACTACTTGATTAATCATGAGAGACTATATGAGTTTTTTTGAAGAAAGCATCCACGAGGTGTGTTTTGGTCATACCTGGGGCTTTGGTTTGTTTAAGGGAAAGTCCATTATTAGAGATTCTTCATGCTGACGCACATATAGCTCCCCACTCAACGTCTCAAACACCAGTACAGGGTTGACATTTTCTGTGGGATGATATTGTGCTTTTAGAATAGTCACAGTCCGTTGTCTTTGGTTAAATATTAATGTAAGAACAAGTGTTTCTTACTTCTCATGTAAAAGAGCACTGCTGCTGAGGCCAGGGTTGCATGTCCACAAAGTGGGACCTCATTTTTTGGGGAAAACCAGCGTAATCCAAACCTTGCACCTTTTAAAATATATCAAATCATTTTATGACAAACCATAGTTTTTTTATATGTATAATAATGAAAGAAATAGCTTTCCACCAAGTGGAACTATTGTAGATACTAAAAGGTATGTATAAGTACTAAAGCAGACATATGTTAATCACACCTGAAGAAAAATCCATAGAATTCAGTCTTGTGATGAAAGCAGTCTCTGATAAATTCATCTCAGCAGCAATGCTCTGATAAAGATCATCTCTCAGCTCCTAAATGTATTACAGAGAAACATTTTATAATATTATACAGTGCTAGCACATTTAGATTTTAAATACATTATCTATACACTGTGGATAACATATATAGAAGACTGTCTTATGTAGTGTAATACTTACATTCTCTATGAGACATATTGCAGCAGGATTACCTTTAAAAGGCACATTGGTAAAAGCATCCACAGTAAATACTGGAATTTCCATTGATTACAGCTTTTCAGCTCTAGGATTTTTTCTTGCAGCTTTTAAATATTTTTAGAGCTGTATTTGAGATCAAGTTAGACTTTGACCCTAATGACATAGCAGTTCACTTTAACTTTAAAGGTACAGTCTCAAGATTTCGAAATGTCTTTTTAGACTGACTTTTTTACTGTGATGTGATCCGTAAAATAGTGGAAGATAATAATGGTAATTATTTAAAAAAACACACACACACACACATATACATATATATTCTACACTAAACCAGTTGCAGTATTGTTGTTTGTTGATAGCATTTGCATTATTGGTATTTTCTTGTAAATATATGATCTCTCGCTACAGTTTCTCCCTATGACTGTAAAATAGACAATTGTATTAATATTCTGCAATAAAATGTATAAAACATCCATTTAGATCTACAGACTTTTAAAACCAAATATTTTTTATTGTATTTTGGCATGCAAGTAACCACATTTGTCCATTCAGTGAACGAAACATCAGTTTGCAGATCTTTAAGAAAGAAAATGGACTTATTTCCATTAAGCTATTAACACATTCAGTGAGAAGGTTTTGCAGGTTGTCTAGATTTTAAGAGTTCCCTGGAGAATGATCTGTGCCCGACCAATGATGTTGAGTCGACCATCATCCCTGATCTCCAGCCCCAACTCTCCCCCACGACTGGAGCACTGGTATGCTGGGAAAACAAATAGGAGAGAATAGAACTTTATTGTGCATTTTATTTGTAAGTTTTTTGAGAAAACTATTTAATTAAATCATTCATGTGAACTAATGGGTCCTTTGATTCTTTAGTGAAGGGGGAAAAAAGAAAGAAAAGGCCTTTACCCAACATTTTCTTTTTGTTCAGCTTTTCAGACCAGTAGGCAGCAAGAACTGTATGCGCAGACCCTTTGAGAAATAAGTATTAGTCTTTTAAAGCAAGAAACAAAGTCATATAGTGGATTTTACCAATACCGATAGCTAGGCTGCACCACACTGGCCGATACCGATTAATCAACCGATAGTTCTTAAAATGGATACTGAATGAAAACTAAAACAGTGCTGTATTATTATAAAAAACAAAAACAAAAACAAAACAAAAAACAGTACTGAGTCATACTAGATGATGCTGAAATTAACATACTCTAACTAGATGGCCATCTTTTAAAGGGGTCATATGATGCGATTTCAATTTTTCCTTTCTCTTTGGAGTGTTACAAGCTCTTGGTGCATAAAGAAGATCTGTAAAGTTGCAAAGACTAAAGTCTCAAATCCAAAGAGATATTCTTTATAAAAGCCACGCCTACCTAAAACGGCTCGTTCTAACACGCCCCCACATATCTACGTCACGATGTGGAAAGATTTGCATAACACTGCCCAAATGTTCACACAAAGAAACAAGGCGTAACTTTTATTCTTGCTGTAGTACTGTTGATGCCGCCATGTCGTGAAGGCGCTGTGTTTTGTTGTGAAAGCGAAACTACTTTGTTTGGCCTTCCAAAAGAGGACGATATCCGCTTCGTCATGCCTGGAGCTGATCCGTGCTGGTCGCTGAGGAAATAAATTATGTCCCCACTGGATGCAACAAATGCCTCGTTTATAATGGGTTTTAATGTTTTTGTCTCATTGCTCCGGTCGGGACACGGCATCACAATATGGTACAAAATACACAAAATAATGTTCTTTTTAGCAACATCATATGACCCCTTTAATATCTACACACAAAGGCCATAGCATTGAAATTACATGCATATGGATATTGTATGTATACTCTCACACTTTAACTGCTTCTATTCTAGAACACTTGATGATTATCTAATCAAAATAACAAAATATGTCAGTCACTCGGGGCAAAAGCGCAGCACCACGTCTAGAACTCTCACTCGCAGGTATTCCGTCAGGTCACACCGGACGTGTCACGTTCAGTCATGATCGACATTAAAGGCTGCTTAAGAATAGCGTGCACATCAAATTATCTAGATTCATTGAACCTGGATCAAATTAGTAAGATTGCATGAACTTAAATAGTTGTTTATGGAACCGCTTTAGCCCCGACTGATAAAAAAAGAACCTATCGGAAAAACTATCGGCATGGATTTTTGCAAATAGCTGATCGTTCCAGCCAGGGCAGTCCTTAGCTGATATGTGGCCGGTGCGAGGTAGGGAGCAGTCCTGCTTCCAGCTAACAACTATCGGTGCCAATTGACAAAACCGATACATTGGTCGACCTCTAAAAATTGTGCACTTTCATTTGTAACCTATTTGAATTCATGGCTTTACTTTCACATGAGGAAGCGTCTACAGATTTCTCCACATGTATTGTAGGCTGCTGCATTTTGAGAATTATGTGATTATTTCAGCTTACCACAGACTGGATCTTCAAGGACCCCTAACCAAGGAGAAAAGTAACGGGAATAGAAGTCATATCCAGGTTGTGCGGTCGGAGCTCCCTTCATTGTAACAATGACACCATTCATTTTCCCAGTAGATTCATTTTTCAGCAGGGCTTCTGCTTCAGGCTTCAAAGATGTAAGTTCAGATCTGCCAACAACAAACAGTCAACAACCTTGCATGATGATTTAGATACAAAAATAAACTGCCATTTTGGACAATATTACCAACATACTATTAATTCTTGCGTGATTAGATGTTGCTTTAAAAATGTACTTGACACAAAATTTGCAATAAATTCTCTTTTTGCTTTGAGCGAATTGTCTTCTGTTTCTCTCTTGACATTATTCATCTCATTTAATATCCACAAATACAAAGCCATCCTCAATATAATTTTCTTCCTTGTTATATTCAGCCTCTGGATGTCCAGCAGTACTTGTCGCATGTGTCAGCAAGACGAATCATCAGGTTCCTTGTGGTTGGATTGTAGCACACATCCTGAATGGGTACATCTCCTACTACAGCCTGAAAATGCACATAAAAGCTTGTTTTTACTTATGTCATTTTAAAAACCTAACATAATGTTAAATTACTCACTGGCTAACTTACTTTCAAAAGATCCTTGATTTCATGTTGATCCTGCAAATAAAGCATACAAAACTACTTGATTAATCATGAGAGACTAAATGAGTTTTGTTGAAGAAAGCATCCACGAGGCAGAGTATGTGAGCGGAGCGGAGCGGCGTGATTTTGCCTGGAGCTAGGAGCGGATTTTTTGAAAGTCGGAGCGTTGAGGTTTTTACGGAGCCCCTAAAGGGACATGGTGGTGGAAAAAAATCAGATTGAGTGAAAAAATTTGGGGTGGGAGGAAAAAATATTTGTCAGATTTTTTGCGTTCCCTCGAGAAACTTTGCGTTCCCTCACAAAACCTTTGCGTTCTCTCGCAAAGATATTTGCGTTCCCTCGCAAAACGCAAATACCTTTGCGAGAGAACGCAAAAGTTTTGCGAGGGAACGCAAAATATCTTTGCGAGAGAACGCAAAAGGGAACGCAAATATCTTTTGCGAGAGAACGCAAA